TCAGCTGAGCGGACAGAATGCCTGATGGAAGAGGTGGGTCTATAGCTTTTTTTTAAAAGTCTGTAAAGACGGTCCCTCTCTGATTGAGCACAGTAAAGAGTTCCAGAAGGTAGGGGCAGCGTGGCTGAATGCACTGGAAGCTTAGTTTGTCTTTATTCTTGGCACTGACAGAAGGGATTTGCTGGCTGACCAAAGTAAACGGGATGGAATGTAGGGTGTCAGGAGCTCTTTCAGGTACCGTGGGCCTTGATTGTTTAAGGCATGGGTCGTCAGCCTGGTCCCTACCGCACACATTTTGGAATTCCAGGTGGGTGGTAGCAGCATCCTCCCTCCATCCAGAGAGATGAACGCTCTGTTCATCTCTCGCACAGTAAGTGCGAGGTTGCAGAATGCTCGCGCAGGGAAAGTGTAACACGCGGGTAGAGGAAGGGGAGGAATTGAAGTAGGTAAGGGGATACACAATAGCAGGGAGTGGAGTACTTGTAAAATCTGAGAAAGAAGGAGCAGAGTACTTGTAGAATAGGAGAAAGAATCAGCAGAGTACTTGTAAAAAGGAGAAAGAAGGAGCAGAGTACTTGTAAATAGGAGAAAGAATCAGCAGAGTACTTGTAAAAAGGAGAAAGAAGGAGCAGAGTACTTGTAGAATAAGAGAAAGAAGGAGCAGAGTACTTGTAAATAGGAGAAAGAATCAGCAGAGTACTTGTAAAAAGGAGAAAGAAGGAGCAGAGTACTTGTAAATAGGAGAAAGAATCAGCAGAGTACTTGTAAAAAGGAGAAAGAAGGAGCAGAGTACTTGTAGAATACGAGAAAGAATGAGCAGAGTACTTGTAAATAGGAGAGAGGAGGAGCAGAGTACTTGTAAAAAGGAGAAAGAAGGAGCAGAGTACTTTTAAAGAAGGAGAAAGAAGGAAAATAAAAAAGCAAACAGAGGAATCGTCTGAATATCACCGAAAGAGGAGACCTTCGTTTGTTCATTACGAAAATCGAACCAGATATCAAATATTTAGTCTCGCAGCATCAACCTCATGGATCTCATTAATCACTAGTAAAGGTAATTTCAATTTACTTTATTGTTTTCTCATGAAACTTTATAAAGTTAAAAACATTATAAACATGCATAAAGTAGAAATAAAAAGATAAATGTACGTACATTTTTTTTTTTTTTTAAAACACCCTCCTTTCTAAAAAATATTCTGCACTTGCGTGAAAACTGGTGGGCAGTAAGGAAATTTTTTTCATCAAGAAAGATGCATTAGTGGGCGCTAGGTAGAAAAAGGTTGACTACCCCTGGTTTAAGGCTTTGAAGGTCAGCAGGCCAATTTTAAAATATGTTTGCTATTTAATTGGAATCCAATGCAGGGAATGGAGAATAGGTTTTATGTGGAAAGAGCGATTTTGATTGGTCAGTAGTCTGGCTGCTGCATTTTGTACAGTCTGAAGGCGATGCAGTAATCTAGCCGAGAGGATACAAATGCATGGATTAATGTTGGCATACCACCAGTGGAATTAAGTGTTGTATCCTGGGTATTTTTTCAGATGAAAGTATGCAGATTTTATTACAGAGGAAATCTGCTGTTTAAATGATAGTCCAGAGTCAATCAGCACTCTGAGGTTTCGTACCTTTGATGAACTAATGCGTTCAGAGCCTCCAAGCTCCAGGCCTGTTGTGGGATCATGGCATATTTTTTTTGCCCCGGAGTCCCCTCACCAAGAGTAACTCTGTTTTGTCCGGGTTCACTTTTAGCCAACTAGCATTCATACATTCTATGAGGTCTGCTAAGCAACTGTTGATGTGGCATGTTGGGTCTGTAGTATCTGGAGCAGAGGAGAAGTAGAGTTGTGTGTCATCACTGTAACAATGATACCTTATACCATGTCGCCTGATAATAAGCCCCAGTGGTAGCAAATAAATTGCGAATAGCATGGGAGACAAGATGATTCCTTGTGGAACTCCGCAGGCCAATTCTGTTGGTGCCGATAAGTTTGATCCTGATTAAACCAGTTAAGGACTGTGCCTCCTAGAACACAGATGTGCTGCAAGTGCTCTATTAAAATCCTATGGTCAGTGGTGTCAAATGCAGCTGAGAGATCCAGGAGGATTAGGATGGAGCAATCACCTTTGTCTCTCACCATAAGCACCATCATTTAGCACTCTGACTAGCGTTGTTTCCATGCTGTGGCGGCATCTGAAGCCTTACTAGAAAGAATCAAAGATGTTCTAGCTTGATAGATGGGCCTCCAGTTGAGTTGCCACTAATTTTTCAATTATTTTGTTGGATACTGGTCTGTAATAAGCCATGCAGTCTGGGTCTAGTGAAGGTTTCTTTAGGAGGTGTTTTACCACAGCTTCTTTTAGAGGATCTGAGAAGTCTCCAGTTTTTAGTGAACACTGCACTATTTTTGAGAGGGCTGGGGCAAGTGTTTAAATGCAAGAGGATACATGCTGCGTTGGAGCAGAGTCTAAGTCACATGTAGTAGGGTGTAACTTTTGCATGGTTCTTTTAACTTCCTCTATATCCACATTTGTAAAAGTGGACCATAAACTGGAGCAATCTATCATTTCATTGTAGTGGTTCTGGTGTGTAACTGGTCGGCCTGTGGTAGAGCCTCTGATGGAGGAAATCTTGTTTGTGAAGAAGATCTCAAATTCTGAACACTTATCATGAGAAAAGATGGTGGGGATAAGCATGCATTCTGGTTTGCAGAGTCTTTTTACTGTGCGAAACAGTTGCCTGGGTCTATTGTGGGAGAGTGCAATTTTGCATGACAAAAATTAAGATTTTTTTTCTCAGTTATCTTCATTTGATATTCATTTGAGATGTTTGGTAAGAGCGGCTTTATCCTCTGGATCATGTATCCTGCACCACCTTCTCTCGAGTTTATGGCCTGTTTTCTTCATTTCTCTGATAGTACTATCAAACCACAGCACACTGTTGACAGTGTTCTGCAGTGCGTTTGCGTGTCAGTGCAATGCTTTCTTGGGTGTCTTTTATAGTTTTGTTCCATATGTGATGTTACATCTAATGGTGTCACCCCTTTTAATGAGCGGTGCTTGACCAGGTTCTGAGGCTGGAGTCTGGATGATTGTGATAGAGTATCTCCTGGCCACTGCATGGGAGCCAGAGGGACCACCTCAATAATTGTCTGGACAGAATACACAAAGTAACTGATATAGGCTATGGATTTATTTGTGATCCCATTTTGGCAGGAGTTAATGTATGTTTCCACTGGAACCAGTGGTAGAAGAAGGCAGTAGATGGAGTCATACAAGGAACTGTTGGGAAGATAACCTCAGATAAGAGGCATGGTTATTGAAGAAAAAAGAGTGTTATAAAGATTGAGTGTAGAGGCAGAACATTACCATTTGAACAATCCCTACTCATACTCGAAAAGTAGAGGCTAGAAAAATGCTGGTGGTGAAAGGAAAATTAACTAAATCATGTGTAGAAAAAGAATGGGTATTGGGGAACATGCATTTCTAAGCAGTGGTTCTACCATAAAGACCAAAATCAATACAAAATGCAGTTAAAGGAACTGCACACACACAAAAACTAAAATACTGTTTTAAATGTTATAAGGCTACTTAAAGGATCACTATAGTATCAGGAAAACAAATCGGTTTTCCTGACACTATAGTACCCTGAGGATGCCCCCACCCTCAGGGTCCCCCTTCCGTGGTGCTGAAGGGGTTAAAACCCCTTTAGTTACTCACCTTCGTCAACCGCCGGGCTCCCTTACATCTCCTCCCCCGCCGACATCAGTTCCCCAGTCTGACGTCAGCGGAGCGGAATGCGCATGCGCGGCAGTGCCACGCGTGCATTCAAAGTGTCCATAGGAAAGCATTTTCCAATGCTTTCCTATGGACACTCTGCGTGATGGAGGCACAATATGCCTCCAGCGTCGCAGATGCGCCTCTAGTGGCTGTCCAGAAGACAGCCACTAGAGGCTGGCTTAACCCCAACCCCTCTGAAACTGCTATGTTTACAGCAGGCAAGGTTAACCCTAGAGGAACCTGGCACCCAGACCACTTCATTGAGCTGAAGTGGTCTGGGTAACAATAGTGTCCCTTTAAAATCAGACCATATTGTGTTAAGCCTACCACTACGTCACAGTACCCCAATATTGGTGGGTCCTACAATAATTTTGACATGGGAGATTGACATGCTAACTTGCAATACTTACTTGCAACTTAAGCTGCTTCCAAAGACTCCTCAAGTTATGCATTCCCGTGGTCACCTCCAAGGGGCACCCATAGTGGATGGGTGGGGTGCTCAGCCCAATAGGAATCTGGTCTGGATTCCAAATCGACATAGAAAAAATGGGAATAGGGGGCACACCCAAAACATGCATTTCTAAGTAGTGGTGCTGCCGTAAATACCAAAATCTATACAAAACACAGTTAAAGGAACAATGTACACACAAAAAGAAAAGTAAAGTTTTAAGTTTTACAAGGCTACTTAAAATCACTTAAAAACATTTGCAGAAAACACAGTCAAGGTAAAAAATGATTAATAATACACATAATAAGAGATGTATAAACTACTTAGAGTTCAAGACATTGAACGCAAAGAATAATGTTAAACACATTTTACAATAAGCCATTAATCTGCTGCAAACTACAGAAGGAGAACATGTGTGTCAAAATATGTGCTAAGGAAAAACTCCACTCAGCATAATCACTACAGCACGTCATAGTGGCTATGGTGCAAATATTGCCCTGGCTACCCCCAGTGTAGGGCGAGAAACTGTCTACTGAACACCACTCCCCATCGAGAGGAGGGACAGGAGTTGCTGTTAGGAGCTTATTTTAGTTCTTATTGCCTATTAGGAGCTCATATTAGTTCTCTTGAGCTAAGTCCTTCAATACATGACTAGCTCATAGGCTGAGAGCATCAGCTGATCACTTTCAGCCAATTAGCTAAGCCATGCACTGCAGGGCATGGCTCAGTGAAGAGAGCTTCCAGCTAGAGAGGAGGTGTGAAGTGGTGTCACCAGGGCCAGCCCATCCATAGGTCCCAGTGGGACCATGGCTCTAGGCGGCACTGTGACATGGCACAGTGTTGATGATGTGAGGAGCGGAGCCGCGGATACAAAGGTAAGTGCCTATGTCTGTGCCTGCCACAATTACTCACAACTCCTTCCTAGTCTGACATGTACCCTTGGCAAACTACCTCCTCAACCTATCTCCTAACCTCCCCAATCCATCTCCAAACTGCAATCTAAACGTCATAATTTCCCCAAAACCTGACACACAACTTCCCTAGTATTTTTCCAGATTTCCACCTAAGCCCTTTTAGAAACTGCCTTCTCATCTCCCTAATCCTCCCCCAGTCTGCCACCTCAACTGCCTAATTAATCTCCAGATTGCCACCTAACCTCCATAATCCTACTTTAGACTAAAACATAATCTCTTCTCAGCCTTATCTCTCTCTTCTCTCTCTCTCTGCCATCCACATCACTGTCACCACCACACACATGATTGGCTGTAGTGCACACACATGGTAAGCCAATCCCCAGCATGCACACACATACACACACTTCACCCCCAGCACACACACAGACACACACATCATCCCCAGCACACACACACAGACACAGACTTCATCCCAAGCACACATACAGACACACACTTCACCTCCAGCACACACACAGACATGCACTGCACCCCTAGCCCACACACAGACACACACTGCACCCCCAGTACACACACAAACACACAATTAACCCCAGTGCACAAACACACACTTAACCCCCAGTCAACACACAGCACAAACACACACTTAACCCCCAGTGCACACACACACACACACACACACACACACACTTCACCCCAGCACACACACACACACATACACACTTCATCCTCAATACACGCAGACACTGCTTCCCAGCACACACAGTGCACTCAAACACACTCACTGCATCTCCAGCACTAACACACACACACAAACTACATCCCCAGCACACATGCACTGCATCTAAAAGCATTCACACAGTATCACCAGCAGACATACACAATACATTTCCTACACACTACATCCTCTGTCTCATTCGACATCTCAAACACACACTGCATCCTCAGCACCCACACAATATATTCCTTACAAAATATCTCCTGTACACACAGTCATGGAAACACTCACATTAAATAAAAAAATACACTACAAATTCCAAATGACATAAACATAAATGCTATCCATCCAAAACGGCACCTAAGATAGCGATTTTTATTTAAAATCAGCCCAAACTTCCACTACGCTCATATTTACACACGATAATTGCAATACTTTAAAGGAATATCTGACAAAAATGCAACACTTTATTTTTTTAATATTCTTTATTAACAACTTGACTGAAACACAATAGTCACAAAATTAGGAAAACGGTGACAGGGATGTTCTGTATGCAATCTGTAAGTTTGGTTACTACACAGCAATATTACAATATGCCTTAAAAGCATCAAATCCCATACAGCCCTATGTTATGCAATGTCCATAATATTCTTTATAAAATACTATAGACGGACCTGATACAGAAAACGCACGTATCTAATGGCATACATCCAACATGACAATTCAACTTACTTCTTTTTAGTTTTTTATTGTTGGTGATTGATGTGTATTGTACTTAGCTAATATTTTAATACCATTGTAGAAACATGTAGAATACATGTTGTGACCTCTAATTTAGTGTGCCTTGCTCTAAATATGTTACTGGAATGTATCGATATAATCATGATTGTGATAAGTTTCATTTTAGATTTTTATCATGATTTAATATAATGGACATTGGTGTGTTTTGGTGGCATGATTGTGGTGGAGGGGGGAAGTGGGGCAGGATTTCATCCTTTTACCCAGGCAGCACATTGTCTTGGGCCGGCCCTGGGTGTCACACCAAGTAAAGAGTGAAACTGTTACTAAATGGTTTGTGTTCTTACATTAGGGGGCACCAAGTCACTGCTAGCACCGTAACCACTAGAATGTGCTGTAGTGGTTACGTTGCTCAGAGTGTTCTTTCAACCAGTGTGGCACACATCATCTGATATTTTACTTATTGTGTTTTCCTTACGTTCTGAACCAGAGTGATCCGGACTTCTCTCTATTGACCTCAGCATCTTGGCTTCAACTGGTGTCCTAGCGTACCCCATTGTCTACTTCTGCTCAGCCCTCGGTGGAGAAAAATATTTTCTAGTCTTCATGTATTGGATTACAAGTGCATGTAGACAATAAAGATCTTCCAGTGGCTGCTCAATACTAGGCTTTTTATAAAACGTCCCTCACGGCAGCTTCATATACTCCTGTGGATCGTTTTAATTTATTTAATGACATATTCTAACTTAATATTCCTGGGCTTTATTTGGTATTTAAAATAAAAAAGTCTCTTGTAGCTTTATTAAAACATATATTCCTTTCCAACTATTGTATCATTAAGCAATGTATTCACTTTATGGGATTTATTCAAATTTCCATGAACTGGCAACCAGAATTAAAGCAGCACTGTCACTGCCTGGGGACTTAGCAGAAATTGCAAAGACCCCCAACAGTGACATCACCATTGAGGGTCCGGTGGCCTTGAGTTCTACTTTTACTGAAGATGTCCCTCACGGGTGCCGCCATCCTCTCCCAGCAGGTCTATCTTTATGAAATGCTTGTGTTTCAGAAGGGGGTGGGAGGTAACTATTTAAGTCCAAAATAGCAAAATAAAATAAAATAAAAACATTAAGAATGTTTAATTCTAAGAATTAAAAGAAATAAAAACATGAATCTAAGAATGTTTCCAGTTGGGGCTGCTTGGGTTAACTTTTCCAATATTCACCATTTAGTGAATAAAGACTTTAATGTATTATGCACTGTTACCAGTTTTCCCAGTGCCTCATTGCGTGATATTAAGTGACTAACTTGATGCCTTTCTTCTAAGCAAATGTAATGTTATCTAAATTACATTGATTCAAAATTATACATCAAACTATCAATTCATGCGGTGACATCACTGAGTTTCTCAGAAAAATGTAACCGCTAGCTAATATATTCTTTTTTACATTTCCCAGAAGAAACATAGTATTTCAAACTTAATTCTTCTTTTATCTTCTAGGTTCTTTAATGCTTTGGAGATTTGGATGTTTTGCTGAAATAAAGATTATGTCAACGCGTATCCTGTATATGATATACTTGTGGCTAGAGATCTTAATGACAAGCTTCGTGGATCTACCTTTGTCTTTTCATCAAGTTAGAAATACCAAGTATTAGAATCAAGTCTGAGCAGGACTGGCAATCTCAACATCAGAGACACGCCAGCTGTTTTCAATCTATAATTCCCATTAGTCTAAGGCATCTGCAATATTGCTATCAATACTTACTGTCCGGAATCTCGCCATTCCCCTCAGCCTGGCTAAAGCAGTAACATCACACTGGTATAAACACTGGATTGTTATTCTACAGAGTTCTTTAACCCCCAACCCACAGTGGATGAGGGAATGAGCAGGGGCCAATTGTGAGCCCAGTTGTTTTGAATATTAACACTCATATTGCAACCCCTTAAGTGAAGAAATAGAATTAAGACATTTTTGTTTTATTTTTCACCTACGTGGAACATTCTCATTAATTAACTCCCAAGAAGTTTCCAGGGTAGTTGGCCTATTTTCGGTGACTTTGGATGGGCTCCAAATTGGAGTCCATTGACCTCTACTCAGAGGTGGGTTTGCAAATTTCATAGTATAGAGTTATTATTAGTATTATTATTTATAAAGCGCCATTTAGTTCCGTAGCGCTGTGCAATGGATGGACTAACAGACACGTATTTGTAACCAGATGTCTTTGACGCACAGGAACAGAGGGATTGAGGGCCCTGCTCAATGAGCTTACATTCTAGGGGGAGTGGGGTATAGTGACACAAAAGGTAAGGGTAGAGTAGAAAAGTATGTTGCTAGGATAGTTTTCATTGAGGGCTTAGTATTTTGCTTTGAATGGATATCGATGTTAAATATTGCCTAAACTTGCTACATATTTTTTGGTTTATACAATTTTAATTAAAACAACAAAAAAAAACTGTTAAGTTCAGTTATGGCGAACCTATGGTGAATGTTCCATCATTAGCATTCCGAGATATTCTATGTGATGCTCCGTATCTGTCTACATGGTAGCCATCTGTTCCGGAGACATGTTTAGATAGGTGGTTTATGATATTACCTGTTAACCTGTAGAAGTTAGAGCTGATATCAACAAACATCAAGCACTTTAAGAGAGCTGAACAAGACAGGTAAAACCATAAAGGATAGTTAACCAGGAAAGGAAGGAGCTCTGTTTGATTAGTTACTTAATTTTTTAAGAAGATTGTGTACTTTGATTCTAAATCATTCATCATCATCATCCACTAGATTATTCTGGGCTATTTCTGCCTATTAAAGAGCACTATGTGTGTGGTCAGTCTTGTTTGGCTGCCTTGCTGCCTGACTTCCTGGTGTCATGAACATCACCAGTAATGTGAATGTGTCACCGGTGTAACTCCACTGGCCCATATGCCCTCTTTTCTGGGCTTAACCTCTTCCAGTAATGACTGGTGTGATGAATATTAGAAGCTTCTTGACTCTTGTAAACGTCTGTTTGTATCCTACCAGCCAGCCAACTGATCTGAAGGGTGGAATGGATCATATTTCTTCCTGGACTCCTTGGGTTGTAAATTTTTAAATGGTTCTATAAGTACATTCACTTAACTAGAGCTTAGAAGCCCTCAAGCACTTTACACTAATCTCCACTGACTAGACTACCGATCCTACCAATCATATTGTAAAAAAGTAACAGTAACACTGGTCTGGAATAACTGGAGTACTATGATTAGGGGGAAATCAATGGCCATTGCTATTTATTGTATAAATCAAATATTGGAATACTCTTGTGGGTCTAGCAGTCATTAGTGTACAACCCCTATTAGGCTCTTAACAGTCAACCTAATGATGTGCATGTGCATTAAAATCAGAATTAGCCATTGTTTGTCACTTCAGTCTAAAACGTGCATAATCCTTTGCCAGCCTTGATGTTTTAGGTGCGATGGCTTCTAATGAGTAAGACCGTCAATCAATGATCTTACAGTTTTGCCAGTTCCAGAGAGGCAAATGATGTAGTCATGCCAATCACGAATGAGCTTGCCGTCTTTGACTGACTGCTTTAGGTGAAAATGTTTTGTATATGTGTGCAACTCTAAAATGGGTCTGGAAATGTATAAATGTTTCCTTCGAGCATTT